CGTAATCGGCCATCTTTCATCCTCTGCCGTGCCTCACGATGCGATGGCATTCCTGCGGCCGGCTGTGACCCACCGCGGTGTTATCAGACGGATGAATGTGTTTATCGGCTTGGAAGAAACCGTATGGAGAACATGGCTTGGAGGGGGATCGTCGAGAGATAGGCCAATCTCGACTCGCCGATAACGACCGGTCTTTGTGGGGCTGTACTGACCTACCTAAGTTGGCATACCAAGGATTAAAGACCAGGTTGAGTTGGAGACGGTTCTCTGGTAAATTGATAGTGAAAGATGGGTCTTGCTGCGGGGTAATGTTGCGCTCGAGTTCCGAAGTCGCTGGTGTACGTTTGGTGGTCTCATTCAATCGTTGCGCTTCACTCGGTTGGTACTCGGCCATGAGGACAGCATACGAGAAGGGCGAATGCATGCACATGCTACTCACCTGCAAGATCAAGACTGAGACGTGCGGTGCGTAGGGATTGCTCTGATAGTCAATATCTTGATGATCTTGGGTAAATGCGCTGTATGCTACAAAACTTTATGAAGTATGTCTACGAGACTTTTATTTTTACACAACAACAAGGCCCGAACAAGTACTTCGCAAAGTCATCCTTGAGCCCTGGTGATATGCTATATGATCGCTCATCTTGTGTGAACGTTGCGTTCTAAGTCAGCCTCTCCTGTCATCGGCCTCTTCTCGTCAAAGACCTCCCCTTCCGACGCGACTTCTCGACCTTGAATGACTTGCTGCTGAGGTTCATCCTGCGTCTCCACCGGCTGTTCTTCTTCTTCGTCCGACTTTTTCGGTGCTTTCAAGCTGGTGTTTCCAACCCAGAATGTCAGAGCGAGACCAAGACCTGAGCATACTGTGAAAAAGATGAAGATGTAATGCAGACCAAGCATGTAGGTATCAAAAACCTCTTCTTTCTGATCCAGAGAGAGGCCAAACTTGTCGAGGTCGTACGTTGAGGAAGTCAACTGAGCCATCAGGGTATCCGAAACAAAGGGCCGCTTGGACAAATCTCTGCTGAGCGTATTCGAGAGGATGACTCCCGAGATGACGAGACCAAAAGCGCCTCCGATAGTGCGGATGAAGTTGCGTAACCCAGTTGTCACAGCACGATCCTCATTGCGACTGTTCGCGTACATCCCTACAAGCGTCGGCTGGAGCGTCAGACCAATACCGGCACCCTCTATGATGAGTACAACAATTAGCACAGCGAGACCCGTGTCTCGGTCGAATAGTAAGGTGAGGCCACTTCCAAGAGTCCAGAGAGCGAATCCGGCCAGGATGCAGTGCATGTAGCTGGCGACTCGGTTCATGTACTGGCCAGATGCGATGGATGCAAAAGATGTCGTGATGACTACTGGTAGAATCAAAGCACCCGAGGCCAGGGGTGAGTACCTGAGGACCGACTGGAAGTAAATAGGGAGGTAGAAGAAGTTGCCGAAGTAAGCCAGGCCGATGAGGAACGTCTGTAGATATAGTGCCCAGCAGTGCGGCGCGCGGTATAATCGAAGCGGCATGATCGGGAGTGCGACGAGTTTCCATTGGTGCAGCACGAATAGTACACCTAGCACGGCGCCGGTGACAGTGCAGGCGATGAAGAAGGGAGATGCCCAGGCATACGTCACACCACCTCCTGACAAGGGGATGAGCAGGAGTAACGTGGATGCAATGTTCAGTACCATGCCGCCATAGTCAATCTTCTTGACCTTTGCGAGGTAGTCACCAGACCGATGCTTGAGCGGCAAGAAGAACAGTATGACCATGGAGGTGGGTACAGTCATGATGGGTATTATCCAAAACACCCACCTCCAAGTTGCTCCTTCGACGATAGCACCTCCAAGAAAAGGTCCTGCACCATTGCCCAGGGCAATAACTGCACCCAGCCATCCTACAGAAGAGTATTAGCACTGCTTGGTTATAAGATACACAACGGTACATACCTTGATATTTACCCCGATTCTGCAACGTCGTGATATCGCTGACGATGATCATGACAAGACTGTTGATGCCACCACCTCCAATACCAGCAATGGCACGGAGAACGAATAACTGCACTGAAGTTCGCGCGAAACCACACCCAAGGTCGCCCAGAGCCATCAGCATCAGACTGATCAACAGCAGATTCTTGCGACCAAAGATGTCCGACAAACGACCATTGATCAATTGGAACGCCGTCGATGCGATCAGGAACGATGTACCGATCCATGATGTTGCAGTTCCGGTGTTCAAATCCACGGCGATTGCGGGCGTTGCTGTCGAGACGCTGGTTTGGTCGATGAACGAAACGAAGAGACAGACTGATAGTGCGGGGATTGCGATTCGAAGTTGTGTCGATGTCATGGTGTTCCTTTGGCCGCCAATGGATGCTGCGTCGCTCTTGTCGTCGTCATCTTCTTCCACGGTAGGCGAAGGGGACGCGCCATGAGGATTCGTTGTAGGTATGTCTGATTCGCATGGCTTGTCGTCTCTGGATGGCTTCTCAACGAGAGTATTGCCAACGCATGAATCGCTCTCTTTGATGGGTCGCGTCGATTCCATCTCGTCAATGGAGGGTTGCTGTTCCCGCATCATCGGATTCTTCCACAGTCGCTACAAGCCTCAAAAACATAGCGATTCTGCGTATGTGTATATTTGGAACAAGACCAATGGTCCCAAACATCGTAGCTAGCGTTGGAGTTGGGTGTGGAGCCCCGGGAGGCTGCCCGAGCGGGATTGAGCCCTCCAGGGCTGTCATGACGCCGGTCGACAGCTGCGAGATCGTCGGGAGGTGTGTTCCTCGTAGAGGAATTGCGGAAGCAGCCAGTCACAGTTGAGGGGCCCACTCACATGGCAGAAACGCTTACACGCTTCGATGGCGTAAGTGGCATTATGGGATGAAAGCCGATGACGGTGAGGCTGCGAAGTGGGTCGTCTTAGCAGGGCACGTGCGGGGCCTTCTCATCGGAACTTTTTGAGCCGACGCACTTTCGGCCCCTGGGGCCCTGCGCCGATGGCTGTTCGTATCGACATCGGACCATAACGCTGAAAACGGTATCGAAGGTATTCAGGCGAGTTCTCGGCATCACGGCTGAGACTGACAGATGCCATGTGTCAGGTGGGGTTTGCGAGGCTGCCCAGGTGGGTTGCCGATAACGACCATGGTGACCCATCACAAGGCTTGCGCAATGGCCATAATATGTGTGGTAGACACAGCCATACACGCTCTAAAGAGCAACGAAGCATTGACATTGTAGACCACTACAGTTCTTGCGAGACTACTTGATCAGATCCTACCTCGTCTTCTGTTGTACCAACATCGACTGCCAATATGACGAAACTCTTCCAACCATTGACAGTTGGAGATGTAAAGTTGGGCCATCGTGTCGCAATGGCACCGTTGACCCGGTATCGCATGGGCGACGACTACAAGGCGACGCCCATGAACAAAGGTAGCTTGAACACCGTCACCACGAAGGGCCGATATTGACCAAGTATCGCAGAGTATTACGAGCAGCGAGCATGTGTACCTGGCACGCTCATCGTCAGCGAAGCAACCATCATCTCCAGGAACGCCATCGGCGCCCAAAATGCCCCAGGAATCTGGCAAGAAGACCACATCGCTTCCTGGAAGGACATCACGTCAGCAGTGCACGCCAAAGGCTGTGCGATATACTGCCAACTCTGGCATCAAGGTCGAGCCGCAAAGACCGATGCGCTGGACGCAGAAGGCATCACGTTGGTGTCATCCAGTGCAGTACCCATCACATCTGAAGACCGAACACCAGTGGAGATGACGGAAGAGATGATCTGGGAAACCATAGCAGACTATGCGAATGCAGCCAAGAATGCAATTGCTGCGGGTTTTGACGGCGTCGAGATCCACGGTGCCAATGGATACCTGCCGGATCAGTTCCTCCAGACGACTTGTAACCAACGGACCGATAGCTGGGGAGGAAGTATTGAGCAACGAGCGCGATTCCATCTCGAGGTCACCAAGGCTGTCATCGCTGCTGTTGGTGTTCAAAGAACAGCAATGCGTCTCAGCCCTTACAGCGACTTCAACGGCATGCTAATGGACGAGCCGGAGCCGACTTTCGAATACCTCACTGAAGAGCTGAAGAAACTGGGCCTGGCTTACCTCCACCTGATCGAAGCCCGCATCACCGGCAATGACGACTCTGAATGCGGAGGCCAGAAGACTGTACAGTGGATGGTCGAACAATGGGGCAACGCAAGTCCAGTCATGCTTGCAGGTGGCTTCCTACCCGACTCAGCGAAGCAGACTGTTGATGAGACGTACAAGGACTACGATGTCATCATTGCGTTTGGCAGATATTTCGTGGCCAACCCCGATCTTGTGTTCCGCGTCAAGGAGAGCGTACCACTGGTCAAGTACGACCGCTCTGTTTTCTACACTCCAAAGACACCGAAGGGGTATATCGACTACCCCCATAGTCAGCAGTACTTGACAGCAGTGGCGAAGGTTTGAGATAGATATGCCTTTGATACCAATTTTACGTGTACTTCCTCATGCCCAGTTTTCTCTCGACTAGTTGTGAAGCGCGAGCAAGATCTACTACACTGTGCTCTCAAGTAACGTCAAATGCCATGCTACCAATACATCGAGAGCTATCCTGGTCGCGTGATAGTCTGGTAGTACGAGATAGCCTGTATACCAACATGCTTCCAGATACCTTCAGGGCTTCCTTGACCTTTCTGGTCCTTCACATCCCCTCTGTAGATATATTTGAAACTCTCGGCAGACCTTGTAGTTCTTTCCCACAGGTCCTTGCGATATGTTCAATAGCCTGTTGTATGCATTCCACTTCCTCGCGTGTGCAACCGACCCGCAGACACCCGCGTAGATGCCATTTCGTTGAAGGAACGAGGCCTTGGCACATGATCGCAGGCAAGATAACGAGCTCAGATTCGATGATATCGAGAGTGTTGTGATCGGCCAGGAACAGACCGTAAGATATGTCGGTCGAGAGCCATGCTACACGGCGCATTAGTCTCAAGATCGTGAGCAGTGGAGAGTCGCAGGGTACTCACGTATGTCTCTGTGTGAACCGAATGATGCCCAGATTTTCTCATTATCATCGCCATAAAGCGTTTCAAGAACCTCGAGACCGCGCTTGTGGTTCGCTTCATCAGCTTTCCAATCCTTGCGGGTGAAACTGTGATCTTGATCTTCGGGCTGTTCTTGCTTCGCAAGAGACACGAAAGCTTCCATGACGATTGGAATGCCGTTGAGAATGATGCATTTAATCATGGCTTCTCTCATGCGCCGTACGAGACGTTGTCTCTCCGCAGACGTCTGATATGAGGGCTGTGAGATGATGTAGTTGTAGAGAGGACCTATCAGACCCGGTTGGCCGCTGGCGATAAGTGCTGCTGTCTGTGAAACACGCGCAAAGTCAGCTTCAAAGTCTCTCCCGGAAAGATCGTACTCACAGTGGAAAGGTACCATCCATCCTTCCTCCATCTTTCTGGGAACCGCGCTTCGGTATCTCTGAATAGACGGTTCGCGTCGATGGAAGAGTCCAGTCCACCATAAACAGCAAGGGTGGGCATGTACTCGACTATGGTAGACAACTGGGAGCAGAACCTAGAAATAGGCTGGAGAGCGCTTGCGGCGGCACACATCGCGCACGTCGTGATAGCGGGGTGATTGGCAAGACACTAGTCCCCAGTGTGAATGGATGTGAGGGGGGGTATGAGATAGCTCTCGTTGGTAAGCGCAACTAGAAAGAGGATAATTGATTTTGAATGCCTGTTCTAAAGTTGTGGACTTAAAAGATCAAAACAAAGTATTCGCAGTATGTTGGCAAAGGACCACGGGCGAGCTATATAACAAGGAAATAGAGTTCTTGGTTAACAAACAGATGGTATTGAATGCGAAGACATAGCAGCGTAACCTTGGAACAGTGAATATTTTAGCCTAATGGCAAGTAAGATTCGTGTAAGAATTGATGTAAGACGATTACTGGCGTCGTACATCAAACTCTAAGCAAGTGACATCGGTGTACGAAATGTAGTAAGACATTGATTGACTTCGTGCAATCAATCTTTAGGCACCTCACGTGCACGTACCAGCCCCGTAACATGGTCGGGACCTAGGGACATCCTCCGAAACGGGTCTTGAATTCGAGGTTTTCTACTGTACGTAGATACTGACACAGATGGTTGGCGACCCAGTAGACAGGGTTGGCGGGGAAGTCTGGGGTTGTCATGTTGATGGAACGCGGCCCAAGCGACTAGCGCGACCGGAGCGGAGAAACAAGCAGTGGAGGTGGGATGCGACGACTGCCATCCCACTAGGTGGGCGCGCAATTCACTCCGCAACCGCGTCCCGACCCGAGCTTGCGCCTGATCGCACCGCCCCACCCCGCCGGTGGTCGCAGCCTACAAACAAGACATACGGACGCCCTAACCCCCTCGGACATCGTCGCCGAGAGCAAGCGCAAACATGGACGACTTCAACAGCGACACGGACAGCGACTACACAAGCTACTGGCGAGACTGGGTGAGTACCTGAACTCCATACATTACCAACACCGGTATTCTTTGATCGCTGGTCATGTCTCTACAAACCTTGGGGGCGTCGGGGTGGAACTATAGGTACCTCATGGCGTGGTATGCTCTGCCAGCCCTTCATTGCAGGTCGCGTCTGACCATGCGCCAGCGGTGACTGCGGCGAAGACGGCTATATCTCCACGCTGAGGTGCCCCCATTCGTTCGAAGTCGATGAAGACTATACTATCTTCTCGGCCAAATGGGGCCCGCTCATGCTCATGCAGAGCGAGTGGTGGTCCGACTGGTGGGAAGATCACGACAGCGTAGAAGAGAAGACACAGCTATTTATTTCAACGCAGGCTAACAAACAAGTAGTTCATATCCTCCCGAGGAAACGAATACTTTTGCGAGATTGACGAAGAATACCTCACCGATCGCTTCAACCTAACAGGCCTGAACACCGAAGTTCAGTACTACCAATATGCACTCGATCTCGTCACAGACGTGTTCGACTTCGACTGCGACGATGATATGCGGGAACAGATCGAGAAGTCGGCACGGCATCTCTACGGACTCGTCCACGCACGATACATCGTCACTACCAGGGGCCTTGCCAAAATGGTACGTCAAGCGCTCATATCCTATGCCTCGCGCCCACCACTAACACACCACCCAGCTTGAGAAGTTCAAGAAATCAGACTTTGGCAAATGCCCCCGCGTAATGTGCGAATCGCAACCCCTCCTCCCCATGGGTCAATCCGACGTCCCCAACGCCTCCCCCGTAAAACTCTACTGCGCCCGCTGCGAAGACCTCTACAACCCCAAATCCTCCCGCCACGCCGTAATCGACGGTGCCTACTTCGGCACCTCCTTCCACAACATCCTCTTCCAAGTCTACCCTGCGATGCTGCCACCGAAATCGCAACGGCGGTACGAGCCCCGTGTTTTCGGCTTCAAAGTACACTCTGCAGCAGCGCTGGCGCGGTGGCAGGCAGACAAAAAAGATGAGATGAAAGATAGGCTGAAGACGCTGAAGATGGAGACTGGGTTTGAGGAGGAAGATGAGGATCTGGATGATGATGAGGACGACGATGATATGGAGACTCAGGAAGGCGTTGAGGGCGCGGTTGTGCAGCTGTGACAAATGGGCCTATAATGGCCGTTTCACTATTGTACAGATGGATGGGTGAGGAGTGGGAAGCATGTTTAGGAAGATGGAGGCATGAGTAGTTTATAGCATCCGAGAGGAACTAGCATGGGTTTGGCGATAGGCGTCATGGCTGGGTGTTAAAGCAGTATCTGATATACCAAACGACGATCAAACAATGCAGATTATGACTTGCATGAAACCTGAAATAGTCGAAATCTCACACGTACGCTGACAGGATTGATACGCAGTGGCAAAGATTGCTAGTATTGAAGAACTACTAAAAGAGAGGGGGTATCTATCTGACTTTCCTACACATCCCATCCGCCTCCTGTCCAGTGAATACCCACAGAAAACTAACCCAGGATATCACAGAAAGGCAGCGTCGCTGAAAGGTGCCAAAAGAAAAGAAGAAGATAGATCGAAGGAAGCAATGAAGAAGACAAAGTAGTTCTCATGAAGTAAAGTAAGTAAGTAAAGTAGACAAGAAAAGATCGAGAGAGACGAATCAAAAAGCGCCACGCAATGCTAATCAAGCAAGAGATCCAAACCACGCTGTCGCTTCGCTGTCATCCTCCCATAATCCAAAAGATTTCCAAACAATCCCAAAACATATACACATCCAAGATGAATCTTTCGTAAAACCCATATTACATCGTAAACCAAAAGTCCATGGCTAACCAAAAAGCTTGTGAGCAAGAAGAAGAGAAGAGAAGAGAAGGAGAAGAGCGCGGCTTAAAACATCTTCTTAAACCAGCTTCCCCTCTTGACAGCCGGGGCACCGCCATCAACAGCCGGTCTGCCATCCCAGGTGCGCACAGGCGGCTCTTCATACGCAGGTACGTAGCTTGTGCGGCGGGACGCTCTCTTGCGCTCTCTGTCGTCATCAACCGTCTTCATGCCCTCATAGTGTGTAGCCCGGCGACTGTGCTTGTGCGTCCTATCGCGATCGCGTTCCTTGTCCTCTGCCTTGCGGCGCTCAGCACGCTCTTTATCGCGCTTGGGTCCCTTGCGACCGGCGATGCGCAGGCGGATGTCTTCGTCTTGGGAGAAGGTTTCCTCGTCTTCCTCGGGGGTCTCGCGCGCGCCGGGGGCGGGGTCGAGAACGGTTTCGGAGATGGGTGGAGGGAGGGGTGGCTCGTTGGAGAGGGATTCGACCCACGACGAGGTCTTGTCGCCGCTCTTGTTGTTGCTGTACGGCATGTTTTCTTCCTCGTCGCGGGCCTGGCGCGAACTGCGGTGTTTGCGGGCCCCGCCGTTGCGCTCGTCGAAGTAGTCGGTGATGGGCTCGCCGCTGGCTGCGACGGGGTATTCGGAGTTTCGTCTGGCGGCGCGGCGCTCTTCGTGACGACGGCGACGTTCTGCGTCTTCGTCTACGTGCACCGTTCGACGACGTTCGGTCTTTGGGCGGGGCTCTTCGCGGTCCTTGTCTTTGCGGCGCGAAGAACGCTTCTCGCGCTCTCGTTCGTCGGATGGCGGTTTGCGCTCGCCTCGTGCCTTCTTTCGCTCCTCCTTCTCGGCCATACGACGCAGTTGTTCCTCGGCCTCTTGGTTGCGACGCTCCAACTCAGCCATCTGACGGGCCTTCTTCTCTGCAAGAGTCGCACGCTCGTTCTCGCGCTCACGTTCGCGACGGCGCTCTGCCTTGGCCTCTGCCTCTTCAAGCTCAGCGCGCCGGGCTCCTTTGTCTCCATCGCGTTTGGATCTACGCTCAGCTCGTCGAGCCTCTCGCTCAGCATCGTAGTCCTCAGGGGTGCCATTTGCGCCTGACATCATAACATCTTCAGGAGGTGGATGGCGCAGACTGCGGCGCTCGTGTCGCAACCGCTTCGCCTCATCCTCTGTTGCGCCTCCACGGGTTGTCGATCGCTTGCGATGTCTGCGCTCGTCTTCGGTCTCGTAGGCGGTCCGGCGGCGCTCGCGGGGTGCCTCTTCCGGCGCAGCCTTCTTGCGACCGAGGCCGAACATTCCCTTGAAGCCTTTCACAGCAGCAGCAGTACCTGCGACACCAGCAAGCGTGCCCATAGCATCCGAGTTGCCGCGCGCACGACGAGGTCGCTCCCGCTCACGTTCGCGGCGGGGCCGCTCAGCCTCAGCTGGGGCAGGGTCCAGGTCCATGGGGTCGACGACGATGGGATCGTCAGCGCTAGGCGGTGCAGTCAAGGGTTCAAGGGGTTGCGCAGAGTCGCGCTTGGATTTGCGACGCGATGGCTCTGGACGGGAAGCTGGGGGAGGAGACTCATCGTCAAGATCTTGGTCGTCGTCAATAGGATACGGGTCTGGAACAGCTGCCATAGGGTTAGCTTCGAATGTTTGCTTACGGCTGCGCCGGCCAATGACAGGCGCATCGTGCTTAGCGGGGAACGGCTCACCTCGACGGAAGCCCTTATCTCTGGCGTCCCGAGTGCTGGTCCTGCGCGACGAGCTTTTCATGCCCATGACCTTGGCGGCCTTTGAAGAGACCCTCGCATCAGTGTCTGTTTGTGGCGGCGACATCATAGCAGCGTCCTGGTCGATTGAGGGTCGGCGCGACGTTGTCTTGGGTGTGCGATGTGACTTTGATCGTGAAGGCGGGGGCGGAGCAACACCAAACATGGCACCTAGCCCAGTACCAGCGCGGGCCGTCTTGGACCGTGAAACCGTTGGCTTGGATGAGTGCACCTTGTCCGAGCCTGATGAACGTGACTTGATGTCATTGTCCCGAGTGGACGAGGTTCGTACAGACTTTGTGCGATCGGGAAGGCCGGCGCCGTCTTCACCACCAGACACCCTTCTGGTCTTAGTCTTGGCCGCACCAAATAAGCCCCATCC